ACAGAGCGGCCGGCAGTGACCCCCCAGAAACCCCTCGAACAGCTACACTTGCCAGGCACTGAGGTCAGGCTGACAGGCCTGTAGTTTCCTGGGTCCTCCTTCCGACCCTTTTTGTGGATGGGCGTGACATTCGCCAACTTCCAATCATCTGGGACCTCCCCAGTGAGCCAGGACTGTTGGTAAATGATGGAGAGTGGCTTGGCGAGCTCTTCCGCCAGCTCCCTCGTCACCCTTGGGTGGATCCCATCTGGTCCCATAGGCTTGTGGGGATCCAAGCAGCTCAGTATGTCACTAACTGTTTCCTTCTGGATTACAGGGGGGCTGTTCAGATTCTTGTCTCTGTCTACAAGCTCCAGAAGCCAGCTGTCCTCAGGACAACCTGTCTTATTGTTGAAAACTGAGACAACATGTCTTAGTCCTATCACTTGTGTCTTCTGAGGTTTGAACTAGTTAACAAAGCTGAAATTTTTGCAATGTCTTTCTTTTCTATATTTGGAGATGGCAACTCTCAGTTTTACAGACAGGAACCTATTGTTCATTACTGTAGCTTTAAAATATCCTGTCTAGCACCATCCAAGTGTTTTCATAACCTTTTATTAAGGGATCATGCTCACACGCTGGATTGCTTTCAGTCTGTGGAGATGTGCATTGGAATTGTTGTCATCAGTAATGTTTATGTGGGCTGTATGATGTATCAGTAATGTTTATGTGGGCTGTATGATGTATCAGTAATACATGTGTGGAATACAGAACAGAAAAGTTTTCAGTCTGAATTACTGTCACAACTTGCTTTCGTGTTTCTGTTCTTGTTTGTGTTTTTTCCTTAGCAGTTCCCCTCCTTAATATCACAAATTGATTAACATTAGTACAATATGTAACATGTAAAATAAACCCCCTGTAATCCAGGAGGAAGTAGTTAGAGACCTGCTATGCCACCTAGACATTCACAAGTCTATGGGAAGGGATGTGATCCACCTGAGGGTACTGAGGGAGCTGGCAGAAGTGCTCACCAAGACACTCTCCATCATTTGTCATCAGTCCTGGCTAACCAGGGAGGTCCCAGATGACTGGAGGTTGGCCAATGTGACACCCATCTACAAGAAGGTTTGGAAGGAGGATTCAGGGAACTACAGACCTGTCAGCCTGACCTTGGTGCCAGGGAAGGTTATGCAGCAGATTATCATGAGTGGGATCACACAGTGAATGCAGGACAACCAGGAGATCAGGCCCAGCCAGCATGGGTTTAGGACAAACTTGATATCCTTTTATGACCAGGTGACCTGCCTAGTGGATGAAAGAAAGGCTGTGGATGTTGTCTACCTAGACTTTAGTAAAGCCTTGGACACTATCTCCCGCAGTATTCCCTTGAAGAAACTGGCAACCCATGCCTTAGACAGGTGCACTGTTCCTTGGGTAGAAAACTGTCTGGATGGCCAGGCCCAGAGAGTGGTGGTGAATGGAGTTAAATCCAGTTGGCAACTGGTCACAAGTGGTGTTCCCCAAGGCTCAGTTTTGGGTCCAGTTCTGTTAAATGTCCTTATCGAAGATCTGGATGAGGGGATTGAGTGTATCCTCACCAAGTTTGCAGATGACACCAAGTTGAGTGGGAGTATTGACCTGCTTGAGGGTAAGAAGGCTCTACAGAGGGATCTGGACAGGCTGGATTGATGGGCTGAGGCCAATTGTATGAGGTTCAACAAGGCCAAGTGCCACATCCTGCACTTGGGTCACTGCAACCCCCTGCAAAGCTACAGGTTTGGGAAAGAGTGGCTGGAAAGCTGGCTGTGGAAAAAGACCTGGTTGACTGCTGGCTGGACATGAACCAGCATGTGCCCAGGTGGCCAAGGTGGCCAATGGTATTCTGGTTTGTATCAGAAATAATGTGGCCAGCAGGACTAGGAAAGTGAGGCTCCACCTCAAATATTGTGTTCAGTTTTGGGCCCCTCACTGCAAGAAGGACATTGAGGTGTTAGAGTGTGTCCAGAGAAGGGCAACAAAGCTGGTGAAGAGTCTGGAACATAAGTCCTATGAGGAGTGACTGAGGGAACTGGGGTTGTTTAGCCTGGAGAAAAGGAGGTTGAGGGGAGGCCTTATAGCTCTTTACAACTACCTGCAAGAAGGTTGTGATGAGGTGGGGGTTGGCCCTGTCTCCCAATTAACAAGTGACAGGATGAGAGGAAATGACCTCAAGTTGCACTGGGGAAGTTTTAAATTGGATATTAGGAAAATTTTCTTCACTGAAAGGGTTGTCAGGCATTGGAATAGGCTGCCCAGGAAAGTGATGGAATCACCACCCCTGGAAGTGTTCAAAAGGCATGTAGATGTGGCATTTGTGGATATGGTATAGTGGCAAACATGGTGGTGGTGCTCATTCCAACACCAAGTGTCTTTTCAGAATGACTCTGCATTTTTTCATAATTTGGAAGCATGTCCAGATTTGGAGTCTAAATATCTTTCAAATATTGGACAAACATGCTACTTACAACTTTATAAAAAATGTTTAAAGTTTCCAGTTGATTTGGTGGTCATTGTCAGGGAGCAGCAAGAGTGATTGCTCCAGAATAACAGGTGATCTGGGAGCTGAGGGTGACAGCAAGGCAGACAGAAGCAATGACCCCAACTACAAGGGGTGCATTCTTGCAGCACCTGAACAAGGAGAGCAGAAGCGGTCTGGTCTGATGACGGTGACCAGGGACAGTTATGGTCCAGTGATAAACAAGGTCACAGTGATAAGGCAGGCCCAAGGTCAAGTCAGGAAATCCAGTCAGCAAGGCAAGGATTGGATCAATAAGGTACATGGTCAGATACAAGTGTACATAGCATACCTACAGTGTAGCTCAGGCAAGGACCAAGGTCCACTGGCCTGAATTAAATGTAGCTCCTGAGTGAAAGGGGTAGTCCCTGCACTGAGCCTTTTTCCAGTTCTTTCTCAGCAGTCTGATCCCAAGTTACACAACTGTGCTATGTCAGAGCTGGCCTTGAGTGCAGACAGATAAACCCTTGCTGAGGAGGGGGGCTGAGGTTGCAGTCTGTTGGTGCACTCTGGGCCCTGACAATCATACACTGTGGTAAAGAAAGACAGTTGCTTTCCCTTATGGTGTTTCCAAAGTCTGAAAAGCTTCTTTCTACCTATAAAAGGAGGGGGAAAAATAGCCAAATTACTTTCAACTATTTTCTTTTTCTACAGTGTTGGATCTATTTTCAAGCAAAGTTAGGGATTATGTTGTAGCTTTGCCTTATGCAATGGGCTTCTTCAATAGGAAGCCTTTCCTGTCTGTCTTG